AAGCTTCTCCTTTCTTGGGGTAAGGCTAAGACAGTTAAGGTCAGGGCTTAGGTTAGCTTTAACGTGCTTTGCCTCTTTAATCTGTGCACGGTGTATATCGCATAGGTCACTTAGGTATATGATTAGAAACAGTGGATTGATTAAAATCACTGATTTTAATTGTGACTTAAGTAATAGATTTAATCTTGTTTTGTATTTATACCGGATAAAAGATGTTAGTTTGCAACTAAATATAGTCTGTCTTGTGAAATAAGCGCTTATTTTCTAGCAGTAGGAAAAGTATACCTTACTGTTACCTATTTAGGGCTCAGGAGAACCCAAATATACATTTATCTAGTGAATTAGACATGCTAGACATTAAAGCAAGCTTGATACAAGTAAAATATCAAGATCTTCAGGATAGAGATGAATGCAGTTAAAAAGCATACGAAATACTGGAAACCTGAAAATGGTTTTCCTTTTAAACCAAAGAAGTCCACTGAGTAAAAGCTTGCCTAGTTCATGATTCAACACCGATTCTTTTTGTTAACAGTATCCTTAACAGGTTTAGAACTAGAAGGTTTTGTAAATTCACATTTCATCTTACTTGGAGATGGAGGAGGAAAACAATGAGTACTTATTTTTAATCTGAAGAGGATTTGCATTTTGCTTTTAAATTTCTGAGCAAACAATTCACTGATGAACAAAAGTTCTGCGTACGTGCAAGGGAGCAATGCTGTGAAATGCTTGTCCCTGGTGCTTAGCTGCTGATCTCTATCATGTATGCTTAATTTCTTCAAAGCTTTAGCAATAAACTAGTGCTACTTAAACTTTTAAATTTAATTTTCCTGTAATGTCCTAACATAACACACTTGAGTTATTATGAGACTAATAGCAACATTTTAAACAAATCATATTTATCTGCAATAACTATTTATTTTTGGAACATATCCAATTAAGTCTTAAGTCATTGTAAATTATTTAAGAAGGAAGCTGCTTTAAATATTTGAAGTGCTCTTAAGCACAAAAAATGTATATTGTTTACCTGACAGTATGCGTTAGTGACAGCTTTTAAAATTTTTTGCATTTTAATAATTGAAACTTGCAGACTTCAAATTATTTCCTTGTCTTTCCCTTCTCATATGCCAGCTGAGATTTTTGCTTTTCACTAACTAATAGAATAGCTAGTATGTGTGCGATCAGTGCCCAAGGTATTGTATTTCATGGGCAAATGTATTTCTTCTGGAAACTTTTTTTTTAAAAAAAAAAAAGAAAACAAACCACTAGGGAATGTTGTAAGGCAATTCAGAACCAGCCACATTCTAAAGTACGTGAATTTGTAAATTCATCAAACTAAGAAGGTGCTCCCTTGTTAATTCTATATCTTTTTTAGGTATTAAATTTTTGTGAGTCTGTGTGAAAGCACAGGATTGTAAATAAGCTCTAAAGAAACACTACGTGGCAGAATCATTTGATAAATTTCATTAGTTTGTATTGTACCCCTCCCTGATGTTGATATACTTTAGTATGCAGTATTTGTTACTTCTGTGCTTGTGGCTATGTCTCTCACATGTTTTCATAGTTGCATTTCACTGTGGGAAGTGAAAGACTCTTCTCGGAGATGGGTAGTGGAAGGATGAGAGGCAGCAGATACGAGCTGGAACATGGCAAATTCTGATTAGGTATAAGGAAAAGAAAATTACCATGAGGATGGTAAAAATACTGGAAGAGGTGCCCAGAGGGGTTGTGGGACCTCCATCCTTGGAGGTGTTCAAGACTTGACTGGACCCAGCCCTGGATTAATGTGCTTGTTGGTGCACATAAAACTTTGAGTGTGTATGTATATATATGAACAGGGGTTTTGACTAACATTGACATGCATATTTCATCTCTTACAGGTTTGTAGTTGGTTGTTTCTATTTAAAGAACTTGCTTTGTGCTTTTTGTTACGTGTTGGATAGGCAAACTGAGAGCCTGTAGTATTTCAAGTTTGAATAAATGTAAACAGCCATAGAATGGGGGGAAAAAAGTGTACTTTTCCAGACTGAGGAAGAAGTTTCCTTCATTGAATTTGGGAAAAGGTAGAGGGAGAAGCTTAGAGGTGACTGTTCTTTTGAGGGTGAAGTGCATTCCAGGCTGTTCCAAACTGGAACTGTTAAGGTGCACTCCTCTTGTTAGATCTTCCCCATGGATGTCTTGGAGATCTGGTATTTCGGTGGCAATGTGGTCATCCGTTCTAGTGGGGCACTAAAGAGAATGGGTTTGGTGGGGGCTGTAAATAAGATGTCAGGTTTTACTCTGTGGGAAGCGAATTAGTAGTTATTTAACCATTCAAAACAGGAATATAGAAATATAACTAGGAATATAACTAGAAACAGTTCACATCTAATAGGAACATTAATTTCTTTAGTCCTCTTGCATTTCAAAAAATAAAACAGATGTACCAAGGTCTGCCTGAAATCCCAGTCTGACTTGAGCTCTAGCCCTCTGTTCCTTTCTGAGAAGATCCCATTTTGGAATACACCAGCCTAAGAGGTAACTGTATTTTAGTCCTGTTGAGGAAGGAAGGGAGAAGGAAAAGAAGCTGGAGTACTTTTAAGTCTGTTGAATTAATAATGAACAGCTTTTTAAATGTTCAGTGTTTTAATATCACATACTCTTGGGTAGATACAAGTCTTTTTTTTTGCTTAGGAGCCCTTCTCATATTTAAAATACATTACAATAAGTTAAATACGTAAACTTGATTTTTATTTAATTTTTTCTCTATAGACTACCTCAAATATAGAAATTCTTGTATGTGGAAGAGATAGGTAAACTCTGAAATCAAATTTCATTTTGATGGGTAGTTATTTTCTGACAGGAAGCTGAAATGAGAGGAGTTCAAATCTAAACTGTTAGAGGTCATCAGTTTTGCAGCCCTTTAATGGGGTATGTAAAGTGAGCTTGATATTTGCCTGACACTTTTTATGATGAGAGGTAAATAATTACAACACGAGGTTACTAGAGGGCACTGGTTTACTCTATTTTGTTTGCAGAAACAGGCCTGCAGTGTAAACCAGTGAAGATGTTACCATGCTTCAAACTTAAGTAATAGTTTGAGCTTCAATTTGACGGGATGCTAGCTAGAAAAACAGGGTCAAGACCTGGCAGAGAAGTGAGAGCGTGTTTGCTCGTGTGTCCATGCACCCAGTGCTCTTGGTCTGTTTTTTAGAACAAGCAATTTACTTGCTTGGTGCATAAGTTTTCAAAAGTGTACTTATTTTGCAAAAGGCAATTAATGCGTGTGCCAAGACTGCTGTTCCTGGACAGAGTTCTGGTAGTTCAGTATCTCAGGCTCCTGTAATGTGTCTGATTCTTCTCTTTAGAAAGTTTAGAAGATTGAACATTGCTAAATTAGCTCATTTAAAAAAAAAAAAAAAAAAAAAGAGAGAGAGGTGGTAATTTGTATCTGAGCGCATGAAAAATAGAACTGCTAAAACTGTCTACATAATTGCTTTTGGAAATAACTTCTTCACTTGCCAGAATGTGACTTGTGCTGATTTTTAATTGCATGTAAAAAGTGTTTTACTATCATAAGCATATATTTGACCATGAACAGTGAGCTGTGTCTAAATTGTTTGCTGTCTTCTGAGGTGGGAGGTGGGGTCAGCCTAGTGGTATCAGTGGGTTCACGGCCCAAGGCTTCGCTCTGCAAGGGTGGAATGAAAAAAAATTGTGGTGGTAAAAATGGAGTATGTCCGATATCTCAGATTTTTGTAGAGATACTCGTTTGAACATAGACTCTTGGTTTACTGTGTTAAGAATGAGAAAGGTTTAGGTATTGCTATTTGAGGGGGAAAAAGTAACATTGTAGAAAGATAATATTTTTGGAAATTAACCTGAACTCAAAGGCTTACGCGGAGTTGTTGCCGGTGCAGTGCTCACGTTTAGCTTGGTAAGTTGAATCCTATCTGTTCTAGAAAGAGTCTATGTAAGTTAAAACATGCAAGTTCTGAAAATATTTTTAGATGACCTTGTAGCATATCACTTGGGTTAATAACGTGTTACTTTGACCTTCCTCCCCACCCCTTTTCCTCTACTGAGTTGACAAGCTTATCAGGCAATTTCCTCAAAGTATGCCCTGGAGAAACATGACATTAAAAATTCAAACAAAACATTGCAGGTGGATGAACTGCTGTTCTTACTGTGACTAGGTGCGTGGTTGTTAAAATTATTTTAGTGTTTGTTGGGAACAATCCTGTCTTCTGTAGTGGGTTGATCTAGTTCCCAAATCCTGATAGAATTGGAGAAAAAAAATAATTATATGTCTGTTACTTATTGGTAAAAACGCAGCTATTGAGGTGGAGACCTGTGTGAAAGGTGTTACAGATCTCCGCCACGTTCCTTATCCACTGCTTTAAAAACTTCCCTCCTGATGGCCCTTACCATAAGTTCACACTTAATGTTCCCTTGTGTTTATCTGTAAATGAAAATAAATGGTGCCCTGAAACCTTAAGTTTGGTCTAAGTCCAACAAGTGTTACTAGCTGTGATGAACCCAGGTGCTCTACTTCTTCAGCAGGCATACGGTGGACCTTAAATCTGCGCGTCATACACTGTAGGTTTTTATGGATGTTGCATATGGAATATGTCCATGCATACATGCTTATGGAAGGTCACTCATCTTTGTTTTTTCTTAAAGAATGTGTTTCAGGAATGAATAATTCCTAATGGAACCATTTTATATTGGTATTTTATACCTACAGTCGATGTATAAATGACATATAAGTAACTTAGTGGCTGGATCTTCACCAGGAGTTTTATTAAAAGTCTAAAGTGACTTTTTTTTTTTTTCCTCAGAAAACTCCTAAACTCTGTTAAACACTAGTGGACAGGTACTGTTAAAAAGCTCCTGAATTTTCCTGCTAGCAATCGGAGAGAAAAGCTGGAGCTCTAGACATGCTTCATTACTGGAAGTGTGGTTTTTTGGTTTTTGATATATCTTCTGTTCCTAAATTAAATGCGTTTTATTTTCAGCTCAAGCTTGTGCAGATGTTATGGCATTAGCTAAAGAAGCTAGAAAGCGAAATCTTGGTCCTCTTCATCCTTCCTTTAATGTGATAAAGATAATAAGAGATGGACTGATGAGAAATCTTCCAGAAAACACTCACCAGTTGTCATCGGGCAGACTGTGTATTTCACTAACCAGAGTATCAGATGGTAAAAATGCATTGATATCTAATTTTAACTCTAAAGAAGAAGTTGTCCAGGTATGTTTCTTTTTGGCAACATTTAAAAGTTTCTGTAATCTTAAGTCCATTTAACGTCATCCATTGGATTTCCATTTTAAACATTTTAGGACGTTGTGACTTTGACAGTATTTTAAAGATGAATTCAAGCTTCATTACACTAAATTCACTTACTCATTTTCCCAGTCAATGTATCTGCAAACTGTTTTAGTGAATAGATGAGAGGGATCAATCATAAAAAGGATAAATGCCTTTAAAGTGCAGTGTATCTAATGAAACTATATCCTTCATGAATATGAATTTTTTTTAAGGTCATTCTTATAGAAGCAATAGTCAAGAAACAGTCAAAAATAGCTTTTTAAAATGCTTATTACCCGTTACAAAGCTAGTTTAATATGATCCCAGAATGTTGATATTTATGTCCCCAGTTAGTTAGTTTGATTATTCAGAAAATACATAGCTTGAGTGAATGATTGTAAACTTTTCCTTGCTAATTAGCATTTCTAGAGATGGTCTTTTAGTGAGTCTTACCATTTTTTTTTAGAGTGTGGTTACATTCTAAAAAAGAAATGTGGAATATCCTCATCCCATTTAAAATAATGCTTAATAATACCCTTCCCCCCGCCTCTTCATTCAAGTGTACTTGCTGGGGATTTTTTTTTTTTAGTTGCTTACTTGGTTGTTTTTACTAACAGCTAAAGAGATAAAGATAAATGATAATTTCAATAATAGAACAGTTACCGTTTAATTTATATGGTCTCATTTTCCTACAGGCTTTAATCTGTAGTTCATTTGTCCCTATTTATTGTGGCCTAATTCCACCATCATTTAGAGGTGTGGTAAGTCTCTGTTGTTAATATCTAAAAATATTCTAGCTATTCTGAAAATATTAAGAGACAATGTATATTTTTTTTCTGTTATCCTACTGTAAAATAAATACCTTCGTCATAGCTTCTAGTACTGTAGCTGTACGTTAAACTTTCAAAAAAGCAGGGAAATACTAAATGTGTGGAAGATATATTATGTATATTTATTTTCCACTCTGCAGGACAACACGCACACTCTCTCTCTCCCCACCCCAAAATTTCTTGTTTGCTGATGCAGTAATTAAAAGAGGGTATTCTAAGCTACCAACTATTGAACTTAAGGATATTTCTTGAAGAAAGTGATGCTCATTTACCTGCACAAATTTATAGGAAGGGTCACTTATACTTGTTTGTTTAAAAAAAAAAATAATCTTGTAATTTTTTTTGTATATCTTTGTGTTCTTGCCGTAGGTAGATCTGCCTTAAAACTAGATTAAAGTTTTGTGCTCAGTTAGATATAAACAAAGCTTTTTAATGTCTTCTATTATTGTATTCAGTGTGAGAAAGGTTGTACTGAAAGGTAAAGTGTCAGTACAGTAGTCTGTGCTATTACTTCACAGGAGCTGTTGGTTACAAAACCTCTTAATACTTCATGGCTCTACTGGGTTTTCTAAAATCCCCTGTTAAAGGGACAACAACTGCAGAAACATTAGTATAGCGTGTTGTAGGTGGTTTGATTAACAGGTCTGGAAGCAGACCTGCATTTCAAATCGAGGCAGTGACACTCATGGCTTTTTGTTATAGTGTTGTATTAACTTGCGTTTGCTTTCCTTCCAACTTTGGTGTTCCTTACACAAGGAGAGGGGAAGAATATTGAAAGAAAACTCAAAACATCTTTAACAGTGGTTGATTACAGACTGTTCTCAAAGCAATTTGGAAATGCTAAAAGGTCAAGGATAGGCATTGAAATGTATCTTCTTCATGTTGAAATTTAAGCAAAAGTGGTTAGAACTGTACAGAGATTTTTCTTTATCTGTACTTCTAAACCTTGTATGTTGCCTTAAACTCTTCCAGATTAAAGGTGTTATGAAAACAGGACGTTGGACTCAATCCAAGGTTTAGGTGGATCCAGGCTAATCTGGCTATTCAGTTCTTGTCACCAGACAACAATGTTATTTTAAAAGGCCTAGTTCAGAGTAAAAAACATACAAGTGATGCTTTATTTGGCCCTGTTTTGAGGGAAGGGGAAGGAAGGAAGGAATCATTGTATCCTTTTGATCTTTGCAAGTATTTTGATACAATTTTAATGATTAGGAGGCATTTTTGATGTGACTTGGTAAGAATACCACAGTTGCATATGCTTGGCATGACTTCTGTAGGGCTTAAATGCAGTAGAATGTCACCTATATAAACTTTGTAACATCTTGCTGTTTACTGCCTTGGTGCTTCATGCATGTATGCTTTAAAAGAAAAACTTAAGGATAACTTTCAATAGGTATATCTAACTGCCAGTTGTGAAGCTTTTGGTCGTGGTGGGGTTTGTTTGGGTTTTTTTTACCCTTTTCAAACACAGCAATGATTTTAGATTAAACAATTACTAGGGAGAACAGACTGGCAGAAACTCCAAATAATTAAAACCATTTACCTCTGTAGAACGGTCACTCAGATGCGTAGTTCTACCTTCAAATAATTTCATGAGAAGGCTGCATGCTGTGGCTCCTCCTTTGCCTAACCTGTTATATTGTACTTGGTACTTCCACAAAGGACTTGGTGATGGCACCTGTACTTTAGTGGTTGCATTATACACCTATAGGAAGTTTGTCAGTAGCTGCATGTTGCTGGGTGTAAAGAGCATCCAAGAAAGCTGACAGGTAGGATCAGGCTGCTGAAGAAGAGTACGTTGGATAAATTGCTCTGAGCTGTCCTCTTCCTAATTCCTACTTTGTTTCTCAGAATAGTCAGGGAGTGAGTATCAAGGCAGATGAAACTGATATTCCACGTTGTGCCTGGAAAAATCACCTGCTCTGTTACATTTCCATTTTACAAAGACCTACAGGTTATGTCTGTTGCCTAGTTAGGAAGAAGGAAGATGCAGCCACTAAACCAGCAGAGCTGGTGGTCTTTTGCCACCGTCAGAACAAACTAGGTACAACTGGCCCCACTGGAAAGATGACTGTTGTGAGCGAGTGTCTTTAGCCATAGCAGCTGCAGCACTATAAATTAGTTACCCTGGTACAGAACTCTTCCGTTCTTTGGCATTAAAATGTCTGAGATGATGATGCTCTAAAACTACAGAAATGGGCAGTTCAACGCAAAGGAGACAAAAGCATAACCAGGAACAGCTTCTAAACTTGCACTCAAAGCAGAATAGATATCCATGACTGTTGGTAAGGTTTCTGAAGCATTGTCCATTTTTACATGCAGTTTCTTTATCCAAATATTTTGATGCTTTTGTATCAAATTCTAGTTACTAAGAGTAATTTTAAGTTACTCTTATTCTAACTGAATGGTTTAGTATCACTGAACTTCAGCTTTGAAATGTAGAGCTATTCTTTTACTTGTATTTTTTCTAAAGAAGTACCCTGGTAGCTCTTTGGTTGGTGCTGTCCTTTGAGGAAGAGGAGACAGATGTGCTACTCTTTCTCTGCACGTTGTGTAGGATTATGATCTTTGAAATGGACTTGCTCTTTCTTAAACATATGGAAAAATCCCAAATACAATACTTCTAGGCTATCTATGGAACTATAGGTAGGAATGTTTTTTTAATTGGCATTAGAGGACAAAGCATGCTACTCAAAATGTTTAGCCCAGGAGCATAGGCAGAGACTGTTCTGTTACAGTCTTAAATGCTATCGAATTCTTGCATGGGAAATCTGCTAGTTAGAAGTTTTCATCCTTTGAGACTTCTTATTTCTGTTAATTTTTGTAGCGCTATGTGGATGGAGGAATCAGTGACAACTTACCTAACTATGAATCTAAGAATACCATCACAGTTTCACCTTTTGCTGGGGAGTGTGATATCTGTCCAAAAGGGAATTCTGCCAACTTTCATGAAATGAATGTGACTAACACCAGCATTCAGCTCAGTTTGGGGAACCTTTATCGTTTAACACAAGCA